TCGGTACCTAAATTTGTAATGTTGAGTACTGATTCCTTCTTAGATCGGATACTTTTCTTTTACGTGATTTAGTAGATACCTCAGTGTGGGGGAAGAGGAGTGAAAATTAAACTTACTTTTTTATTTATTTGATTTTCTTTACTCATTCAGGTCAGTTCTATTTTGACTAGGATATATATTTGTAAACTATTTGTTCATATACTTTCATTGTTTTTCTCTTTTTTGAAATATATTCAGGTATACACACAATTTATACAAGTTCATGAATTTTAGGAAAGTTTTATGTAAATCTGTAAAAAAAAAAACCAATCATGTTGAAAACAATGAAAAAGTTAACTAAAGAAATTCTATGACAACTTCCAGTCAATGCAGTTTTTCCTTACAAATCTGGATGTACTGGGTTTTCCCAAAGGGGTACCTTTAATGAACAATAATTTATTTGACCATGAGTAGAAAAAGAAAATTTGACCATGAGTAGAGAAAGAAACAGAGAAGGCGATGACACCCCACTCCAGTACTCTTGCCTGGAAAATCCCATGGACGGAGGAGCCTGGTGGGCTGCAGGCCATGGGGTTACACAGAGTTGGACACGACTGAGCGACTTCACTTTCATTTTTCACTTTCATGCATTGGAGAAGGAAATGGCAACCCACTCCAGTGTTCTTGCCTGGAGAATCCCAGGGATGGGGGAGCCTGGTGGGCTGCCGTCTATGGGATCGCACAGAGTCAGACACAACTGAAGCGACTTAGCAGCAGCAGAGAAAGGTACTAAGCTCAGAATTTTCTTTAGCTATCAGAATTTGGCAGATTGAAAGGAAGGAAGAACATGACAATTCTTAATTGACATGTACCCAGTCGATTTGCCTGAATTCTCAGATGTTCCTGTGACTTTATAGCACTGGGTTCTTCCCTTCAGGATTTACCTTTGGAAGGCAAATTACACCGGCACATCTAAAGCCAGTCTCTGCCTTTCCCCTACCTCAAGCATGAGATCTTGAGCTTAATTAGAATTAACTGAAACACATAGTGGATGCACCATTTAAAATATTTGGTCTTAGAAGAAACACTATTATCCCTCTGTCATGAGTTTAAGAGATTTTCACCCAGGTGTTGAAGATGCAAACCACTATATTTGTCCTATTAGTGACTTGTGGGCCTTAATTTCGGCATTCAAAACAGAACAAGAAACTTTGATAGAAAATGACTTGCAATATCCTCCCCTTCCCCATCAGATTATAATTTTGGTCAAATGATAGACTCTTTACTGCTGTCTTAGGACTGCTTGTGCACATGTATAAGTATCAAAGTATTGTTTAAGAGTTGTTAGTAAATGTCTTAAATTTCTTGATAATGGTCCCTCAAACACAATGAAGCTATATTTAATATGGAGAATTATTCATAAATGCAGCCATTGATCACCTCAGATTTTCAAACAGACTGAACTTGGGACTTAACCATTAGGAACTTTTTGTTTCATTTAGTGAAATTTTGATCTGTTGAACTGCTTTCCTGGTCTAAAAGAATCGTAAGACCACTATTTAATAACTGAAATAAAAAGACTATACTATTCTTATATAAGGCCAAGTCATTTGAAGTATTGCAGATGTAATGTGCATGTTGCAGAGACATTGCATTTTTAAGAAAGAAAACCAAACATTATCTTGGCTTTTATCTCTTAATAGGTATCAAAATAAGTGTGGTAAGTACTGTAAACTTAGCTGCTCCTTTTTCCACATATGTTCAGATTCACACCTGAGAGCAGATCTGACTCACTGGACAATAAGTGCCTCTCTGCAACTTTATTAAATAAAGAGGGATGTAGAATGCTTTTGCAGTTATAGAAACATTCTTAGGTTGGATTTTATTAGCATCCTGCAAACGTTCGTTTTCACCAAAGACTGTAATGCAAAAGACTATATATCCAGCATTAAAAAAAAAAAAAAAAGCAAGTGCTGGCTTACCACCATCATATATTTTTTAATCCTGTCCCCCCACAAAATTACCTTTTAGATTTCAACCCCCATTCTCCATTTCTCGTTTTTGTCTCTTTGTTTTGTCATGTTAGAATAGGGAATTTCTCTTTTTGTGCCAAGGGACCCTCGATGATGATGCATACTGGCAAGTTAGTAAATTGCAGTCCCTGCTTTTTTACATTTCTGATACAAATGGGAAGAGCTATGAAACCAATTTACTAGGTTTGTCCACTTTGAACATTCTTGAAAATAACATTGTGAATAATTATTGTTGTCTGTGTAATTTCCCTCTAATAGTGCCTGGCACACATTATGTGCTATAAAAGTGTTAGCAGCTGCTGCTACTACTACGACGACTACTTATTATTAAATATCCATTGGTTGAACACGATGGAGTCATCTAAATCATACCCTCTACTGTACAAAATGTTGGAAAGCTAAGAAAAAGTATTCAGCACTAAACACTTTAAAAATGAGGATTTATACTTTGAATATTTTAAAATACAGTAATAAATATTAATAAAACTTTATACTGTACTGTGTGGAAATTAATTTTTTAGAGTTGTACTTCTATATAACAAGCTATTTTTGCGCTATATTGATAGTTTTTAATAAAGATGGTGCAGAGGTTTGTTTGCAGTTGTGTTGACTTTTTGGCCATTCATCCAACAAATATTTATTACATTTCTGCTCTGTACCAAGCACTGTTCTGAATGCCAGAGATACAGCAATGAACAAAACAGCCAAAAATTGCTACCCTCATGGAGCTTATGTTCTAGTGGGAGAGGCAGACCACAAATAAGTAAAACAAAAACTACAAGAAAAAAGGTGAAGCGAGAAAATGGAGTATGAAGTGTGAGAGACGGGTGGCCAGGGAAAGGGTTGCTGAGATGGCCTCAGATCTGGTTAGGAAACTAACCAAGCTGACTTCTAAGGAAAAAGTGAACAGTGCAAAGGCCCTGAGATTCTCTATTTTTAATATCAACATATAAGTCACCAGAACTTTTTTCATTCAGTAAATCAGTAAATAAAATGCAAAGCAACAAATTAAACATTTGCACTTAATCTATTGAAAAGAGACGATTCAGAGCTCTTAATAGGGTAAAAAAAAAACAAAGCTACACTTCTAAGTACTTTCACTTTTGCCGTCTTCTAACAAAGAAAATATGTCAAAAGTAAGCTTGAAGATACCATAAAGGAACATGCTATAAACACTGTTAACTATAGTCATGTCAGGGGAGGGCAGGAAGGGGGGCAAAAAGGAAAGGGAGAGAAAATTGCCCTGGGGAGCAGCAGCAGGCTTTTCTGACTTCTGAAAATAACTTACGTTTCCTGTGACCAGAGATGATTCCTTTAACTCTTTTGGCACCTTAAAGAGACATTCTTGCTTGGAATGTGATTCGGGAAATTCCCCCTTTAATTTCTCCCTAAGTGCTTCAAATTACCTTAAAAGAGAATGAAGTCTTTCATTTTCCAGATTTTTGCAGATAAAATGCCCATCATTTTTTTAATTTGTGATGGATTTCACAAAGGATTTTGAAGTCAATGCAGTGAGAAAACTTTCAATTTTTCAAGCTAGGAATAATGATTAATGGAATTGCTTTAAAAAGACTAACATGTCAGCAGCATACAATATACAAAGAAACTCAGGCTGAAAAACCAGTTGAGTCAAGTGAGCTGCTAAGAAAAGGTATCAAACATGGTACCAGTAGGACTTGCCAACTACTTTTATGAGGTCGCCAAAAGATTAACAAAATTCCTGCTCTGGAATGCTTCTGGCCAAAATATTTGGTTTTTCACTAGTAACAAGTACTATTAAAAGTGTTACAACACACTTGGGATAATAAATTTAAAAATGCAAACTAAAGTTCAAAAAAACCAGTAACTCATCTCACATTTTATAGATGTGTTTAAAGACTCCAAGTCCTGCAGAGTAAGAGATGATAAAATGGAAGCTTCCTTCCTTTAGTAGAAACCATCAAGCAAGTTGTAAAGAGGAATTAAGAATATATTTCTTTATTAATAATAATAGAGGACATTTTTTGCCTCTTTCACTCTCATTCCCTCATTAGTGTATAGTGGAGTTTTCCAGCAGTTACATACATGTTGGGCACTATTGCAGCAAATGGAATGCAAAAGCAGCTGTGTAAATCAGACTTTTATTAAGCCAGACATTTAAAAAGACTTAAAAAAATATAAAACAAGGCTGTTCTCACTACATTTTTTTGTTGGCAAATTAACTGTTCTTTAATATAAAAATGTTACTTATGTAGGGGTTTACTGTTATTTTAAATGAGTAGATTTTTAAAATTTTCTGTTACAATTTCTGAAATGGTTAATATCAATATATTACATAAAAACAGAAGCTTCTTTGCGGTCTTCTACATGAAGAGTGAAAAGGTATCCTAAAATCAGTTTGTGAACCGCTGTTCTAGAACACGTTCCCAACTCTGCACATTAAAATTACCTGGGGAATTCAAATTCAAACACAGACACCCGGGCACAAACCCGCGTCTCCGTCCACCCCCTACCAACACGTCCAATTGGTGCAGTCTGACAGAGCACCGCTGCTCTAGATAGAATTACCAAATAAAACACAGGAGAAAAAGAAATGTGTTGAATTATGTTATGCGGGTACAGTCAGCAAAACCAGAGTGAGGCAGTGACTAGACAAAGGACCCCTGCTCCATTGAAAGGAGATTTTAAAGCGATTTCTAATAGAAGGTGCAAGGGTTACTCTGGGAACCAAAACTAAACTTGGTTAGACACACGGTTGATTTTGCTGCTCTGTCGTGTTTGGGCCACTAACTCTCTTTTTACAGACCTGGTTCTCCCGGATCCCTTCCCAGGCGAGAACTCACAGCCTCGCAGTCCTGTCCGCCGGTGCAAGCGCAGCCGGGCACCTCTACGTGCGCAGACAGTACCGCGCTGAAGAGCCACGTGCTGGGAGCCACGTGACCGGCTCCACCGGCCGGAGGCGGTTGGAGGCACCTGCGCAGCTCCCCGCCCCCGGCGCGACCTTCTCCCAGCATCCTGAGCGCGGCTTTCCCGCCAGGACTACGCAGAAGCGGTTTTCGCCTTCGGCCTCGCGTGTCTCCGGCTCTTATTTTGAGCTTCTGCTACCCGTTTTTACGTCAGTCGTCCCGCCATGCAGCGTGAACCTCCGAAGAAGCAGCAGGAGAAGAAGGTGGAAAAGCGGCTTTTTGACGCCACATCCTTCGGGAAAGACCTGCTGGCAGGCGGGGTGGCGGCGGCTGTGTCCAAGACGACGGTGGCGCCCATCGAGCGCGTGAAGCTGCTGCTGCAGGTGCAGGCGTCGTCCAAGCAGATCAGCCCCGAGGCGCAGTACAAAGGCATGGTGGACTGCCTGGTGCGGATTCCCCGTGAGCAGGGTGCGTATGGGCGGCCGCTCCGCCAGCCTTCCCTCCGCGCAGGGTCAGCTTCCCGAAAAAGGGAGTGGGTGAGCCAGGAGGGTCGCTGCGGGCACCAGGGCCGTCGGTGTCGGTGATGAGTTGATGTCTGTGCTTGGGATAACACAATTTCTTAACCAGTCTATGAGGCTCTGCTTTCCCAGGGCCAAGAAGGCCTGCACGTGAGCAGTCCTTGGGCCGGAGGGATCACCACCTTCTCTTTCTTTACATTTCTCCTTCCTAGTAGGCGTTGCACCCCGGTGCGCCTCTACCTGGCTCCAGAGGGAAATGGTTGACCTCCCAGGATTGGGGGAGATGCCATTAGTCACTTGGCTGTATGTTAATAAGTGCTTTAAGGTTCTGAAATACTTGTTGAAATAACATGTTTGAGACAAGTATCCCAAATAGAGAAGCACTGGGCCCTCTCTAGTACGTATTCAGTGAAAAGAGCATCTGTTCTCAGGAACTACTGAAGACTGGGGTTGAAGCTTAACAGGCACTCACGTCTACACATGTTTTAGGAGGATGCCAAAAAACCTCAGTGGTAGGTGCGTGCTCAGTTGTGTCCGACTCTGTGCGAGTCCATGGACTGTAGCCCTTCCGGGCGCCTCTGTCCATGGGATTCTCCAGACAAGAATACTGGAGTGGGTTGCCATTTCCTTCTAGAGGGGATCTTCCCCACCAGGGATCAAAGGCGTCTCCTGCATTGGCAAGCGGATTCTTTATCACTGTGCCACGTGGGAACCTCAGTCTAGAAACAAACTATTTTAATGCAGTATTTTTAGAAATCAAAATTAATGAGAAAAACCTACCGTGAGCAATGTAAAAACTCTTAAGTAGAGACAGGATCGGTTTTCTTTTTTTGCATCAGGCTCTGTTTTTATGTAAAATTTTGATATTTTTGGTTCATTGTGGAGTTTTGGAGTTTTTTCCATTAACATTGAAATGATTTTAAGGAATAATGAAAATGCCTTATTAATCATTCATTGCCCTCACCTTGCAGACTGGCTTCTGAGTTAGCTAAGTGAATAGAGGATAAATTGATCAGAAACTTTCAGCTGTATAGTTGTAGTGTTAGTTGCTCACTCATGTCCGACTTTTTGTGACCCCATGGACTGTAGCCCAACAGGCTCCTCTATCCATGGGATTCTCCAGGCAAGAATACCATTCCATTCTCCAGGGGATCTTCCTGACCCAGGGATTGAACCAGGGTCTCCCGCACTGTAGGCAGATTCTTTACCAACTGAGCCTCCCATATAGTTGAATTCAATTGAAACATCGATACAAATTTTAAAAAGGGAAATAGGCCTATTTGTTGTATATTCTGAACAAGACGGGAAGTGGGTTCAACTCAAGTGCAGGCCATTCTTTCACTCCTAATTCTAAGACAGGTTACACTTCCTCTCAGAAAAAAAGGATTCCTGGGAATTTCCTGGTGGTTCAATGGTTAGGACTTCAAGCTTCCACTTCAGGGGGACACGAGTTTGATCTCTGGTGGGGGAACTAAGACCCTGCAAGCAGAGTATTTAGGGTTGAGGATATAGACTCTTAAGGCATCATCTCTACTGTGGTGTGCCCCGTCTGGGAGCTTAATTTAGATCTTTCATAGTTAATGGCTCACATCTCACTTCCATTTATTTTATCAGAACAAGCTTCCCATTTCTCCTCAGAGAAGTAGGAGCCTCTTTACTATTTACTAATCTGCTTTAAGTATTTAGTCAGGTAAAGTTGAATATTCTGGACAGATTGTGCTGACCAATGCTAAATAATTTTATATTTTAAATGTTTTTTGTAATATTTAAACCTGTGTTCAATATGGAGCTTCTCTGGTGGCTCAGTGGTAAAGAATCCGCCTGCAATGCAGGAGACTCGGTTGGGTCCCTGAATCTAGAAGATCCCCTGGAGGAGGGCATGGCAACACACGCCAGTATCCTGGCCTGGAAAATCCCATGGACAGAGGAGCCTGGCGGACTACAGTCTATCAGTTCAGTTCAGTTGCTCAGTCGTGTCCGACCCTTTGCCACCCCATGAACTGCAGCACGCCAGGCCTCCCTGTCCATCACCAACTCCCGGATCCTACCCAAACTCATGTCCATTGAGTCGGTGATTCATCCAACCATCTCATCCTCTGTCGTGCCCTTCTTCTCCTGCCCTCAATCTTTCCCAGAATCAGGGTCCTTTCAAATGAGTCAGCTCTTCGCATCAGGTGGCCAAAGTATTGGAGTTTCAGCTTCAACATCAGTCCTTGGGGTCGCAAAAATAGGACATATCTCAAGTGCCTGAGTACACGCGCACAGACACATTCAATATGGCTCTTGTAAATTGAGACCATTCTGAATAGTATTCTGGCTCCAGCTTTCTTTAAGCAGAATTTTAAGAAAATGTTTCCTAGTACATACAAAGCCTTGTTATCAGTCCTGTGCTAAAAGATTAGTAATTCACAACAGGGATAATATTGCCATCTAGGGGCATTTTGGGAAACTTGTGAGGAATATTTTAGCACAAAGAGGGGAGTAATTTTTAAATGCAGTGAAATGAAAGGCAAAATCCAGGACTGCTAAACATCCTGCTGCCCCTGTACCTGGTCAGTCCTGCGCAACAAAGACTTATCCTGCAACGGAATGACTCAGATCTCCTCCTGGATGTTCATATGTCACTAAAACCTGTTTTTGATTATTTACTTATCAACATAAACCGTCCAGGGCATAATTTTGGTACACACTAATTTTAGTAATGCAGCTCTCATGTAAGTAGAGGAAAGACTGTACATGGTTTTGCTCAGAATTTTACTGAGAGGTGTTCATCATTGTGGAAACTCATGTTAACAGTTCTGTGTGTCATATTTGATCATCACTTACATCATCTTCATTTTTAAATATTGAATTATGATGATTGTATAGATATACTTATTAAGTCCTTTTTTCAAAATGTCAATGTGTATCTTAAACACAACAGATTCATTACTGTGATGTCTCTGATGTGATCACACCTCACCAATTTACTAATTCAAAATACATATTAAAAACTCCTTTATTTCTTCTTTGTATGTAGCAAAGAAGGCATTATATTGACTTTTTTGGGACTAGTGAAGAGGTCATTGTCTTTGAATTCTATTTATAGATAGTATAGGAAGCATTGTAAAATATTTATTATATATGGAAAACTGGAACCTGGTAGGGTTGAGAATCACTGTGCTAGATCATTCTGGAACTTTACTAGGCAGTCAGATTCGGAGGCTTTTATTTTCTGGAATTTACTTTCTGTCTTGTGAAAATCAAGGTACATCGCCATCTCGGTGTTCTGAAGTTTCTCTTGTTTTCCATATTCTAGTTTTACTGATAACTTTTCCTTTCTTTAGGCAGTATGAAATGAGGATAAGAGAAGGTGAACTCAGAAGGCACAACTGGGTGCTCTATCACTATCTTCTTACCTTGTGTCTTTCTTTACACCTCAAGGAGACAGCTCTTCATTCTTGCTCTGAACATAGCTTTAAATATCTCTTTTGGTGTCTTTGATAATTTTTAGTAAAAGTGTCTGGGTTTAACCTGACCAATGCTATTTTTAAAGATTTATTCTTTAGTTGGTTTTATGACTTTCCAACTTTATATGTATACTTTCATTATTTAGTACTATTTAAACCTTCATTATACAAATAATGCATGTTTCTTATAGAAAATTAGAAAATACAGAGAAACAAAAAGTTTAAAAAAAAACTGCTAACATCACCACAGTTAACATCTTTGTGTCTTGAGAGTGATTCTTTTTCACTGAGCAAGCTATGCATAAGTAAATATATTTTAATTATTACAACTGTTTTATTTAGTGTATTGCAATGTAGGTTTTTAAGTATATTATAAGTCTCATTTTTAAAGAGCCTACCAGAACTCTTTCCTCTTTCAGGTATTTCTGGCCATGAGTTCATCAGTTATTTTTAATCTGAACTTTTCCAAACATATTTTTCTGAAGGCTAAAGCAGTGAGGTTTTTAAATATTGAAGATGATATTTTGGGGTATGAAAAGAAAAGATTAGGTATATGTTTTAGGTAAATAAAATAAGAAAATAAACTTTACTAATATTTAGTAAATGACTTGGCTCTGGTACCTACGATTGGCCAAGTGTCAGTATATATCACAGGACACTAAGGCATCCTGAAAAAAGTAAGAGTTACACAGGGGAAAGGGGATGACTGGAGCCCTTACTCAATTATTATATAATAAATATAGTTTATATTGGCTCTGTTAAATGGATTTATAGAGATATATATTTGAAATTGTCAAGAAGACTATTTGAAATATAGATTCACATTATATTTCAGAATGAACCTCATTCTAAGAGTGCCTTGAGATAATAGCAGATGATAGTATGAAAACATCATAATTAGCAAGATATTTGAAAGTACTGTGTTTTAACTAGTAAAATAAATGCTCAGTTGTATCCTAATATCTTAAAGTTTGACCTAACCACCCTATCTAAATAGTCCTTCCTCATTCTCCATCTGCACATTACTGTTTCTCCTCCTGGACACTTAACATTTATTTCTTCATTGTCTGTCTTTGTGGTGTAAGTTCCATAAGACCAAGAACTTTGTTCCTAGTGCTATCCCTAGCAGGTCTGCTGAGTGTGTGTGTGTGTGTTAGTCACTCAGTCATATCTGTCTCTTTACGACCCCGTGGACTGTAGCCTGCCAGGCTCCTCTGTCCATGGGGTTCTCCAGGCAAGAATACTGGTGTGGGTTGCCATTCCCTTCTCCAGGGGATCTTCCCATCCAGGGATCAAACCTGGGTCTCCTGCATTGCAGGCAGATTCTTTACCATCTAAGCCACCAGGGAAACCCCTGCTGTGTACTTCAGTTCAGTTCAGTTCAGTCGCTCAGTCGTGTCCGACTCTTTGCGACCCAATGAATCGCAGCACGTCAGGCCTCCCTGTCCATCACCAACTCCGCTGTGTACTTGATATCACATAAGAGGTTTGTTTTTTTGTTTGTTTCATTTATTTTTATTAGTTGGAGGCTAATTACTCTACAATACTGTAGTGGGTTTTGTCATACATTGACATGAATCAGCCACTGATTTACATGTATTCCCCATCCCGATCCCCCCTCCCAATCCCTCTGGGTCTTCCCAGTGCACCAGGCCCGAGCACTTGTCTCATGCATCCAACCTGGGCTGGTGATCTGTTTCACTATAGATAATATACATGTTTCAATGCTGTTGTCTCGAAACATCCCACCCTCGCCTTCTCCCACAGAGTCCAAAAGTCTGTTCTGTACATCTGTGTCTCTTTTTCTGTTTTGCATATAGGGTTATCATTACCATCTTTCTAAATTCCATATATATGTGTTAGTAT